GATAGATAGATAGATAGATAGATAGACAGATAGATAGATAGATAGATAGATAGATAGATAGATAGATAGATAGATAGACAGATAGATAGATAGATAGATAGATAGATAGACAGATAGATAGATAGATAGATGTAACAGTGCGCACTTCCGAAATAACAATCTGTGCTGGCGTGGTGTGAATCTTGCCCCTTCTCCACACCGCGAACTCACTTACTTACTTTACTTTTAGCCGCCGTTTTTACCCTTTTGGGTGTCACGGGAAGAAAGAGACGTCTCTCTGTCGCCAGCCGGAGAGCTTGGGTCAGGCGGATGCCGTGGGTGGTTAATGTTTCCCTGACTCCATCTATTCAGATCTTTCTCGGTCGCCCTCTAGCCTTGTTGCCATCGAATTTTTTAAGTGGGCACGTTGTGCTGGATGGTGTGTTGGTAAACGTAGGAGATGTCCGAACCATTTGATTCTTTGGTGTTGGATGTGATGAATGACATCATTTGTGCCCACAATTTCTCGGATTACTGAGTTTCTAATTTTGTCTCGCCTGGTCTTGTTTACTACTTTTCTAAGGCATCGCATTTCGCATGTTATAATTCTTTGCTCTAATGTCTTGTTCGTGGTCCATGTTTGGGCAACTCACAACATTTTAAAATCATTATCTTTTGCAGTGAGCGGCCAGTGGCAGGTGGACGTGGATGTTATCTTTGATGTCAACGAGGATTTAACAGAGGTCAAAGGTCAAGTGCAAGTGGACGTGCCGGCCTTGAACTTGACCTTGGTTCAGGACGTGACAGTTTCTTCTTCCCAAGGCAGGGCTAAGGTTGTACTCAAAGTGCCGTTGGTAAGTAGTAGACGAGTAATGATTTTTTGTTTGGAAGGGGGGGGGGGTTGGAGGTGGAGTGAAAGAAGGACAAAGGATGGAAAGATGGAAGTGACGTAATTCGGAAGGCAATAAGGAGAGAAACGACTTCATTAAAAGAGGGGTAAAAAGTTTGACTAATTCCACAGTTCCAACTGCAAAATTCCGGCCTTCTTCCAATAAAACAGAGTCCCATTTCCTGTCAATATAATGCCCTTGAGGTGGTACAAAACTTTTGCCATACAAAGTTACAGTGGCGGTGGGTGGACCAAAATTTGGGTGGGGCTTAGAAGGTTGCTTCCAGTTCTTTACCACCATATAGCAAGCAATAAGAATTAAACAGTGATGATTTTTCTTTAGTCACGGTGGGCCACGGCAGTTTGAGAACCAGGCAAACGAGAAGAGTTCCCTTTGTTTTCCATCTCTTTGTTTTTAGTTAAATTCTTGTTGATGGGGACGAAGCCGATTCACCTCCAAATTTCCTCTAACTAGTTTTCGTGTGAATGAAAAAGTTGCCTTACAAGTAGTTCGACCTGATTTATAACTGCTAAATCTCAGC